TATATACTTATCAACTTCTGAATAGTTTGGAAAAATTACTAATAACAGAAACAGTAACAGTGCAAGCCCTCTACTATGCTATGAAACATCTCCTATGATTGAATCAAATGCAACAGACACAGAATGATAGAATCATACAGACTGGACAAGATCCATTAAATCAAGATTAACCAGTACCTAACACAACAAGGTCCACCCCTAAACCATGTCCCTAAGCACTGCATGTACACAACTCCTAAATACATCCAGGGATGGTGACTCTACCACTTCCCTGGGCAATCTGTCACAATTGTGCAACAAGTGTTGCACACTATTCCATAAAAGATGAGTCCAATGAGAGATGTCAAATATCCAGTCTTGAGCACACATAAAATATTCTGTTGGTTGGACATCAGTGTAAGGTTGGACATCAGTGTAAGAAGCAACCATAGAAAGAAATGCCCTCATCTAAATTTATTCACACACTATTTCCTTCAAATAAATATCTACACTTTTTTTCACAATTGAATCTACATTTTATGCATTCTGTGCAAACAGATCTGAACTACGTAGAGTTGATGGATGGACCTCAGTATTATGCTGACAAAAATCTAAGAATAATTAATATGAACTATGCTACTTCATCTTCACCAACCACAGTCAAACATCTCTGCTTCTCTCCTTTTAGAAATGCTCTGTGATGTTTTCCACACTTGGTTATATTTCAAGTAGGTTTGCAAGCACATGTATACTCTATAGGTATATAAAGATACTCACACAAGTCTGCTTTCCTGGCATTTTTCATCCGTATGATTTTTACGGTGAGTAAGTTGCATGGAGAAGGTTCTGTCTATAGAAGAGCAGAGTACAAAATACACGGGATTATCACGTAGAGAGAAAGAACAGAAGCACAGTCAGATATAGTGTTGAATTAAATGTTTCAATATCAACCACATAAAACATTTCTAGACTGAGGCTCTTCCTTGTGCATCATCTTCTCTGTCTTCCCAGAAGGTTTACAGCCAGGTGGGGCCAAAGTCCCTAGATGTACACTCAGCCACAGACCAAATCTCCACTGCCCTCCATTTTTCATTCTGAGGAAACTCATGGAACTCCTCAGATTGTAGTGGTGGACTGACTCTTACAACTCAACCACAGAAAAATAGTGAGCCTCACTGTGTTGTATTAATACAACTGATATACATCTTGGTCTGTGCAAATGCAAAGTATGTTATATAGATCTACTTTATTTCACAACAAATAGTGGTCAATCTAGCAGAGCAGGAATTAGTAATGATATCATGATGTTGTAACATTGTGTGTCAGCTGGTATATAGCTATATACCTCCACTGTTATGTTTGATGTGGATCAGCATTGGCTTTCAGAAAATGAGGACCTGAAAAATGTCTTCCAGGAACCCATTCCAAACTTCTCTGAAGGGGGCGACATAAGAAACAATTCTGTAATTATTTCTCTCAGAATAATTTAGGTTATACAATACTCCTTTAAGCAACGACACAGGAAAGAGTCATTGGAAATCCTGGGATACCACATATACCTAGGTGGTTATCTAAAGATATTTAACAAACCTGCCAGGGAACTGGTTTGATTTTGTTGAGCAAGGAGTGGACAAACACAACACTTAATGAAATGTATGGGGGGCTGAAGGTGAAGTAGTTTGCTCCCTAGATGATTCCCTTTTTTAAAGGAATGAAAGGAGAAAAAAACTCTGCAATTTAACACTGAACCAACCAAAGAAAACAAGCACCAACACAAAAAAAAAAAAAAAAAAAAAAGAAATAAAAAGAAAAAAGACCATATTTTTGTAACAAATATATGGGAGAGCTCATGCACGCTACTCATTGAGCAGGGAGTATCACTGCCACAAGTATGTAGATCCACATATAGCAAAGAAAGCCTTCTGTGTCACCATCCGTTCACTAATGCCCACAGACTCCCACAGTTTCTAGGAGAGCCCACATTTAACACCTTTCTGGCTTTTCCTCTGTGCTCATTCACATTAGTTACATCTCTATAGTTTTCATCAGTGGGTTTTTTGCTAGATCCCACTGGATGAGAGTTAAAGAAGCAGCAGTATATAAAGTGGGCATTTACAAAATATGGTACAATTGCTACAGTATGAAAGCCCTTAGATTCCTCAAAGCAAAAAATCAAAGCAAGCAGAAAACCCAGATAGAAACCAGTCATTGCTGTCAGCCCAGGTGCTGAAGAAGGAATCTCAGAGTTGAACAATGCTCCTACACAAGGTCCCATCTGCCACTAAAGCTGCCTGGACAACTCATCCCAGAGCTTCTTTTTCCCTTTCCTTACCTGGCTTGTGCTATAAAACACCCCCATCGTGATCTTCCCCACGTTCAAACCAGGTGTGAAATGCAGCAGCGGATGGGTACTGAGGAGCACCCAAAGCTTCTGTTGCTTTAAGCTGCCTGGAGCAGACAGGCAGGTGTGTGGATGACTGACTCAGTTCCAACCTCGCCCCAGCCACCAGCCCTTGAGCAATCTCCAGCTCCTCCTCCTCACTGCTGGCAGGTGACACATAGATACCCCAGCAGAAGGATACTCTTCCCAGCCGCAGTTAGAGTGGTGTCAATACCCAGCAGGAATCTTCCCTTTGTAGGTTTTAAGGAGGCTACATAGCTCTTGCATACCAGAGGGTCAGGATGCATCCTCCTGTGCAAAATCAGCTGCACCAGCAATGATCTGTCCAACTGCACATGGCTTCCTTGGCCCAGAACATCCAAGCAAGTCATTGAGAATGCAAAAGAGTTTCTGTAGTCTTTTATTGCCTGTGTGTATTTGCTTAAAGACATATGAGAAAGATGATTTTTCATCCCTACTTCAGCTTCCATGGTGCTCTCAGGCAGTAAGCTGGTCTTTCAGCCAAGTGGTTACTGCAGTGAAAAATATTGCCAAAAAATTTCCAAATAGCTGTTGAGACTGGAAGAGAATTTCCATGGTAGAGGCAAAGCTTTAAAGGCTCAGTCACTTTCTCAAAATTTTGAATTATCTCAAAGATAACATATTTGGATGATGTCACTTGAAATTAATGTTACTTATTCTTCATGTTCTAGCATAATCTTATATCCCTGCATTTATAAGACTTTGCTTTGCAGGGCACTGTTGGCATCACATGAAATCATCACAGTGCTTAAAGTGAATACATAGCAGATAATAAAATTGAAGACTTACTTTTAAAAAAAGAACTTCCTTGCTATTATGAAATTTAATTTAAAAAATGAACTCAAAATTTCATTTCATTTTGCAATGAAATGATAATTAAGGTAATTCCACAGATATTATCTAACTTGAATTCAATAGGATGTTTGACATCCAAAGATACTGTAACGTAAGAAGTGGATGCAACAAGAAGCAGCAGTCAAAGGAAATAATCCCCAAAAGATTGCAAACAGTTCAGTTTTAAACCTATCGCAGGCTAAATTAGTTTTATCGAGAAAATAAACATTTTGGACATGCTGTTTTGAACAGATGATATTGAAGCAGTGGGAAGATAAAGGGAAGAATCATGGAGCAACCTGAGTGCAGAAGGAACCCCCCTCCCAGAGACAGAAAAGCAAGTTTCCTATCAGCAGGACAAAATGCAGAGATACCCCAAGGCTGACTCGGGAAGCAACACTGTTACGTCTTTGCAACAATTCGTCATAGTTACTTAGGAAATGGACTAATTAGTCCTGATGAAAAAGTTGGTTAATGAGGCTCAGGTTGTGTCATGTACCTATCTGGCTTTTTTCTCTCCTGTTGTGAAGTTTTCCCAGTAAAAACAGATAGAAAGAGCTTCTACCCTACTCTGCTTCATTTCCTCCCAGAAATCCTAGAAACCACAAATCAAACTGATATCTGGGAAAGACCCAAAGGTATTCCTTGAGCTGATTCTAGTGTTCTGGAGCTGAATCACAATTACAGTTGCCTCATAACATGCAGGGCTAATAATCTGAATTTCAACATGCAATACTGCACCTGGAAACAAGGTTACACCACGTCCTTTTATTATTCCTCTTTTATTACCAAAAGCAAGACAATCCCAAGCATTATTTGAGCTGCTGTGAGCAGACTCTTCATGTATCACAGTGTAGAGCAGCTGTTGAGAAAGACAACTTGTGATCTACCCACTGCAGAACTGTGAGAAGATTGCCTCTGGCAACTAGCTTCCCTCAGAGGGCCTTTTGAATTTTTGATGATGGGAAAATCACTCTTTCAGCACAAAGCACAATCTCTACAAAAAAAAAAAACAAAAAAACACAACTATTTGCAGGAAAATGCTGAACAGTTACAAAAACTGCATCCGGAAGATTGCTCAAAAGGTTTTCTTGCATTGTCGTATTCTATGCACCAGCTATCAGCCACTTCCCATTCTCCGAAACATTGGAAGATGGACTGCTGACAGGAACACTCAAGACAGGTGAAGATGAGAGGCAGAACACGCAGCAACTCCAAGAGAAAAATCAAAGTAGCTGGGAAACACAGCAACTACTTAGGCTGACTATAAGTGGTTCTGTGAAGAGCATTTTAAAGGACAATTATGACAGTATAAAACAGTGACAACTTCATTCTGAGTTGTTTGGATTTTCTTTTAATAGATGGTCAAAGCTTCATAGATTATTTTTAACACTGGTAGTAACTTGAAAAAAAGCACTTATTTTCAAAGACTAGTGAAGTGAGTTAAAAAAAATCTCAGAGTAGACAATCACATCAGAGATGACAAACTTCATAATGTCAATGATTAAGATAAGCAAGACCAACACTATCAATAAGCTAACAAACAGAGAGATTCCAGTTCAAGGGATTGCTGCTTGGCCAGACAGAAAAACGTATGAGTTTTGGTTTGATTCACATTTTTAATGTGCTACATATTTCATTGTAATCACAGAAAACACTGTATTAAATTATATTATATATATCTCCACTGGAAAAATAACAAGGTAACAAAACTAAACGTAAATTTGTTGTTTTGAAGTTTCTTTTGGATTAAACCACTGTGAATTCCATTCTGCCCATCTGAACAGTCACTTAAATAGAATGAACTGGAGTCCATCAATTCCAAGGGGTGATGCAATTTCAACTGCAGATTAGAGTGGCAAGCATCAAACAGTTTAATCTCACTAGATGACAGATAACTCAAGAAATATCACATGGGAGTTTAAAGTTAGCAAATGGCGGCTAGTAATTCCTCTGCTTCCTCCGTGCCACTGCCATGCGCAAGGCCTGAATAATCAAGTTTTCATTATTCAGGACATTGTAATCAGTCAATTTCACCAGTTTGTCAAAATTCTCTTCACTGAAACAGACCTCCCTTGTTGTAAATGGGGAAAGGATACTGCAAACATCAACTTTGCCTTCAGCCATCTCTTCAGGACTCCTTTCCACACCTGAGGGAAAAACCACAAGAGGCAACAGTAAGATTTTAACACAGCATGTAGTTATATCGATGATATAATTATATCAATTAAGTAATTTTAGGTAGAAAAGGGAGATTTGAAGGAGAAGTGATTAGCTCAGTATCATCATATATTTCAGATTCTGAATCAAGCCTCTGCCCAAGACTGAACTATACCCATGTAGCTGGGAATAAGAAAGCCATCCATTATCAGCAGAAGCACTTGTAGACCACTGCTTAGAAAACATGGAGTCTTTGTTGTTCAAACTAGAGATGAGGAAGCAGAAGGAAAACAATCTTGTACTGGGTGGAATAGCAATGCCTACTGGAAGTTTGGGAGAAATGATAACCCTCAGAGAGAGGACACAGTTCATACTTAAAAATAAACAAATAAATAAATAAAATTAAAAATAAAAAAATCCCAGTCCATTCAGTTCTGAATTGGGAAGAAGATAGCCTACCAGACTACCACCAAAACCTATAGAATGTTTCATTTCTTTTTGCAAGTACTGGTGCATAAGAAGTGTGTGTCAATATAGTGTGACAGCTTGAGGACCTGCTACCCATGCTGTATATATTTTGGAAGATTTACCTTCTTGCTATCTCAAGCAATTCTTGTAGAATAAATGCCTGTTTTCATCCTAAATATATTAGATCAGTTTTTCTGTGGTTTGCTTGGTTCAGAGATACTAGTAAAGAGTAGTTCTTTGTCAGCAATGAGACTATGTCAGCATTAGAAAGAATGTCAGAGATAACCAGTGAGAGGTTAGATATGAGATGGAGAAGGCACACCAGGCAAGTAACTCTTTATTAAAATTGGAAGATACAGGTGACTCACCAGGAGCTTTGTAGTTCTTGAAAGTATCGTTCACTAAGGGGAAGAAGAGCACTATTGGAACTTGTGGACTGTCAGCATCTTCAAAAACATAACATTCCTTCAAGTTTTCCCTGTCTTCATCACTTATCTCAATTTTGGGAAATGGAATTCCTTGCCCCGATATGTATTTTGCAATCTGATCCAGAGGCTGAATGAATAAATAAAATAAAGAAAAAAAAAAATCACAGAAGATCCAGTACTCATTTTTTTTAAGTTCCAGCAGCTAACAGTTACAATCCAAGGCTTGAATTTTCTTCCTCTGGGAAGATGTTAAGTTTCAGAAATATGATCTTAACCATACCATACATTACAACTTATTTATTTTCTTCATTGCTTCAGGCAAAACAAGAAAATACCCACTTTCTACAAACCTGCAAATAAAGCCAAAAGCCAGAGGACTGGTTTTGTGGTTCTAATTAAACAGTTTCTTTAAATGGGCTCAGGAGGGAAAGGAAATACAAAACTGCAAGAATGGAGAAGGAACCAATCAGTCTAGATACCCTGCACCACTGTCTTGACCTCTTCAATTTTTGTCATTTCTCCAGTCTTTCCATCTTCTGCATGGTTTGCAATCATTTAAAAGTGACTATTATCAACATATTTATATATGACTATTTATCAACATACTTACTGATCTCATAAAGAAAACAGTTTGTTTAAACAGCTATATTTACTGTAAGTCTATGTTCATTTTTATAATTATCTCACTACATACGCAACATTAATTATCTTACTTGTCTTTATTAATCAAGTCCAGCTTCAGCTAGTCCATTTTTCTAAGACCAGTATGAGATAAACAAGCCCAGAACCACGTAGATTTTTCCATGTAATCTGTTAAAATTTTGTAAGGACTCTGATTACCTTTGTAATTTTCTCAATTCAGAGATAACCAAAAATCAGTATCAGAGTACCTGGTAATTCCTTAATCATCCCCCTTCAAAAACCTTAAGTCCACTGCAGCAAAGACTTTGATGATTTTAAAACACTAATATTCATCCACTGTCTCTGATCATCCTTCTTTGCTACTGAGAAATTAATCTAGTAATCTAAGTAATAAATCATCATAATCAATACATATTGTAACAGCAAGCCAGTGTGCTATTTTTCATCAACATACAATAGAAAATCATACTGAGCATGCTGGCTACTGGGAAGGGTGTTGCAACATCATTGGCAGCTCCACCCATCAGTTCCATTTTTACCTTGAAGTAGAGCAATGTCCTCACCACTATCTTTAATTCTGGAAATAATTTAAAGAATTCTTCATAGTAGTTCACTCTTTTGTTCATATCTCTTTGTCATAGCATCTACTGCCAGTCTCCTAGTTTAAGCAGAGGACTCTAAGGAAAGTTACCTGTCCTTCTAGAATATTGGTGACAATTTTCTGACACAGAGAGGCAAAATCATCATCAAAGTGGTGGTAGAAACTAGAAAAAGATTAATTCTTCCCACTTCAGTACTGGAAAGTTAATCATTTTAATTGATAAATGCTGTAGATTAAAACAGACACAAAGGAAAAGGATCTCAAATACCATCGGCTTTTCTTACCAGTGTTTGGGATCCCCCACTGTAATTTAAATGCAGGATGACATCCACTTCCCTTTTCGATCTCAAAAGTGGTGGGTAGCTGGTATTGATGAAAAACCCAGTGTCAACCAGGGAGAGCTCATCATTAGCTGTTTCCATCAGTTTATTTGGGAAGGAGTCTATTACTGTGTCTGAAACACAAATATTTTTTGTCAGTAAGTCAAAAACAATATTCACTTTCTACAGAGAAACAATCAAAGAGGGAAGAACAGAGAATTCTGCCCTCAATTTCCCCTGCCTTTCCTTGCTGACTAACAACAGGCACTGATTTATAGGAATAAATGACATAGTACAGCTTTTTCCTTCCTCCTTAGACACCTCATGCAGCTCCAGGCTATAAAGGGTAGACCCCCTAATTTTTTTTTTTTTTCCCAGGCTGAGTTTCTATTGTCCATTGCACACAATCCCCAGTCAAACTGAATTTTTAAAGCACCGCTACCTCCCTAATGAAACAAAAATCTGAAATACATGTTAAATTTGGCTGTCACTTCTTCCATTTGGGGGAACTTGGAGTTTCAGAAGTCAGCCCTAACTCTTCCTCTGCGCTGGAAATCCTAAGCAGATTCCCAAACCTAAACCTTCCAAAAATGCTGCTCAAAAACATGCTGTGTTACTGTGCCTTTCCAGGTAGAAAATCCATCACTCTCCAGGTACTTGCTGTGCATCTGTAAGCCTCTGATAAAATTGGGATACTGTGCAATGGTTGGGCGTCCCGTTAAGACATCTCGCAGAACAGAGGAGAAGGTGGATGAGGGACTGAGCATACACGTGTCTACCTCACAAGGATTCATGGACAGAAAGGGTTCTTCCTCTGCAAGAATGAAAGTATTTCTGAGTTTAGGACACTTTTCACAAATAATCTATATCTAAAAACAAAAACAACAACAACAAGCATGAAACAACTACAGTTGCCACCATCTCCAATCGGAACGTAAACCAAATACAGCAATAAGCCCTGAAGCATGTACTACCAAATAAAACTCAGTTATACTGTGAATTAAATGTGACCTGCAGGCAGCAAGCTTCCAGGCACTAAGCACTACCTCACACTCCTTGAATGATGTGCACCTTCACTGCAGTGTGTGGTGCAGGGGAGAGCTGACAGCCAAAAGATAAGTTAATAGCATTGGCCTTTGAACAGAACAATCCAGAAAACATGCTAATATCACTTAACTTTCAACATTTTCCAACTTAGGGAGACAATCAACCTGGTGGTGAAAAAAAACCACAAAAATATCTCACCAATATCTTTTACTCTATCCCTGGTCCATCTGAACCAGAAATCCTCTGAATCAGCAGCCAAATTCCAGACATACATCACATCTATGGAAAATATACTACTCCACATGCCTGTAACATGAAAGAGAGAACATAAACTGATGGAATAGTTTTGGAAGAATTTTAATTGGTACATACCTTCAGTCATTCCCCTTTGATACTTCCTCTGTCCAGATGGCCATCTCTGTGGGCACGCTTCCTAAGTATGTGCTCACTAATATGGCCTCACACCTGCCTAACCTGTTTGCTGGTGCTTTCCCAGGGTTGTCCTCCACATGTAATATGCTCAAAAGCACCAGCCTCTTTCAAGTGGACCACCTTGCTTTCTATGCAATAGTCACCTTGCATGTAGCAGATCCGAGTCTCTGGGAGCCTCTTCACAAGCCTTCCCATAAAGAATTCACTTCCAAAATGTTCTGCACGGATAGATGCTCCATATTTCAGGAGACTGACTTCATAAGGAGTGAACTCCAACCACTCTATGGAGACAACAGCCAAATTATAAAAAGACAATAATGCATTAACGATGGCTACACAGAATAGGGCCAGAGAACAAGAGCAAGTGAAACAGATGCTATCTAGCTCATGATATACTGGTTAGAACTATTGCTATATCTCTATTGCTCACAGAACTTATGCCCTGAGAGAATGTTTCTTTCACTTTTAGGGCGGGTGGTCCTAGACTGTGAAGTCTTTAGATGCAGCAATCTTCTGCAGAAAAGCTTTAGTCTGAATAAAATTATTATCATTCCCTGTTAGTCCTACCCAAAAATGTGTATTGCTCATGTGTATCTTTGTTCCTTCAGGGCAGTCATGACAGCACTCAGCTGTTGATGTTAAATAAACACCATGAAAATCAATAACAGAGGAGATAGTAATTTTCCTGCCACTCGATTAAAAACTTCAAACATCTTACTGTTCAAAATTGGAATAGGTGGAATCATCACAAGAATTAATTTAATTTAAAAAGTTGCAATTTATTCTGGTCACAAAAAAAGTGGCCTCTTCTTTTGTATAAACATACTTTTGTTTCTGGCAATGTAGAGAAAAAAGCTTTTTGTTATTACAATGAATGGACTTATTGTACTACTGAAGCTGATTACATGCATTTAGATTACTTACATTATAAAAAAATTAAGAAATATAACCATTACCTCTGAATGCCTGAGCACTATAGTTGGACTTGAGGTTGATGGCTACATAAATGGGCAATGGGTTCTGTCCATTATCCACTGCCTGCCGCTGATCCGAGAGTCTGTGTTCATCTTTCTGGTTTTGATTAAAATTGGTTAAAGGAATGAGGTGACAAACAATTTGCATTTGAAATAATATCATGTGAATTATGATCTTTATCATGTTCTCCTTCCTGTTTTAATCTCATTGGACTGTTCAGAAGTATCTGCTTTTGTATATCCAAAATTCAGTTAAGTATCCATTAAACAGCAGCTACAATATAGGGGTTCTCAGACAGTTCCCAGGAAGAAGTATGCAAGTAAGTGAAATGTAAGGTACTTTTTTGGCTGATGTGCATGGAACGAAGTTTATCATATTTTACTGTGTTTTACAAGTACATTTATATGTAAGAATATATTGTATTGCACATGACAATACAAAACTTCCTGGTATAAACATAAATTAGAAGGAAACTTCTTAAGTAATACTATTCTAAAAGTACAAATATTTCTATTAAAACTTGTCAAAATATTTAAAGAATGGTCTTTCCACTGAATCATCTTCCATATGAAAAAGCCTGTAACTAAAGCTTGTGCCAGCGAAATACGTTATTTCTAATTTTTAAGAACCTATTCTAATCAGAATCTGTTTCAGAATATTTAATGTCCAAAGTGATGAGTTTACATTACAAAATAATCTTTTTCATTTGGATTTTTTTTATTTTCTAGAAAAGAGAACACCTTTGACTGGACGCTACTGTGCCTTCAAGATAAACCTCACTTTGTAGTGAGAGAAGTGTTTTAATAATGAATCTCACTATTCAGCATATAATCAACCATTTGCACTAGTAGTGCAATCCCAAGATTAGTTGTGCCATCCCAAGATTAATTTTCTTTTCCTATGTATAGACATTCATCAAATTTCTAGGAAAAAAAAAAAGAGTAATACCTTATCATGTAGCATGGATTCAATGACAAGCCCCCATAAGTCTATGAAAGACGTGTTACGTCCTTCTTTAACCCTCTCCATCAGGTCATTGTAGTAGTACTTCAAACAATCCAAGGAAAAACAGCAGATCTTGTTTTTTGTTACTTGCTTGCGAGCTTCCTTGATCGCCTCTTCCAGATATTTTTCCGACCAGTCAGCATCTTCATACAAGTTTGCCATTGTCCTGAAGAAACATTAGAAGAAAATATGAAAGAATGCTGTGGTTTGACTTCAGAAGACATTTGTGCAACGCGTTTGCCTGTTTCACTTCTTATAGGGTTCACAACTGAAAGCTAGATTCTCCTGAAATCCTTTCATTTTGAGAGCAAATACATCCTCTCCTAAATTTCCCTAATTTTGATGACAAGTGGGTTCAAAAATAGCATAAGAAATTCAAGAAAAATAAAAATCTGGCAAGACTACTAAACAGGTCCCCAGAAAATCCTACAAGTTTGCCCTAGACTTAATTTTTCTCCTAATATTGGCTTCTGGCTTCTGCCTGTGATAGCACTAGGCAGTACTTGAAACACATCCTGGACAATCCCTATTGTTCACCTGAAATCACAACGCAGACAAGTACACTGAAAACTCTACATGCATACAGATAAACTGAAAGAATACCTAGACAAACTTGTCATTAAGTTTTGGAGTGATTAACTCAACACAAAAACTGTCTCCACTTCCAACAGAGTGTAGAGGAGTGAAACTATCTAAAACCCATATAAATTTTTAACAGTTATTTACATTATGACATCAACTGCTGTATACCCACTGGGAGAAGCAAGCATTTATAATTAGCAACAACAGTTGCATTCTGTCTGAGGCTGGTAACTCAGCATCATTTGTTGGACCATCTTCAACAATATTAATTCTACTAGCCCCAAATACGTCTTTTACCAGAGGAAGATGCACTTTAAATCCAAAATGGAAGTGAGATTAACCAGCAAATGGCGGTCATAAATTCTTCTTCCCATCTTTCTTCAATTTCCAGTCTAAAGACAAATTCATTGCATTCAGTCTAAGGTATAATTGATAAAATGTGAAAAGGTAATACAGCATTTACATGAAAATATCAGTCACAGACTGTGTCAATGTGGTGATGATTGATCTCTTATTGAGAACATTTGTTTCTTTGTTCTAAGTGAAAACGAGATATCACGGGAGAAAACAGAAATGCTTTTGATTTACTGAGTGCATTCATTATAAACTGACAGTGCTGTACAAACAATCAACACTATCAGCAGAGAAAACATACAACTTATTAAGGCAATCCTCACCATGTGGTACCTGATAAACCACCAATGTAAGAAATGCAGTCTAACAGATTGAGTTTCTGGAGCCCCAGTAGGCTGCCATACATCGCTGTCAGTGACCTCGTCCCGCCCCCAGTCGTCGTGATGGCCACCACTGGCACCTGTCCAACACAGCAGGGCAGAAAGGCAGAGAAAGCCATGTGTGTATTAGAGACAAGACATTGTAATGCTGAAATTAAGTAACAGTTTAGATGCACTGATGTAAGCAATGACATCACTTTGTGCAAAAGGATGTGATGCAAAAGACTTCTGTTGCCACCATCTGACTGGCAGGGGAGGCAAAGTTCATGTTTTACCCACCTGGATTGGGTGGGGGGGAGGCTATTTACTTAATATATAATTGGAAATCAACCTCATCACCCTGGAATTCTTCTCAACATGTATCATTAGAGGCGATCATAAAAAAAAAATACAGGATTTGCCATGGTAGAGCTGATTAACGATCTGTGATTCTGCCTCTAACAATGATCAGTGTCTCAGAAGAATGCAGAGCACCCTGTAATCAGTCAAACCGCCCAACAGCCAAAGCCTTCCTGACCTCAAGCCAGCAATTACCTCATGTCCTGAGGCACAAGCATTGATAGGGTTGTTTATTTTTCCTTCTTAAATTCCAGGTGCAATTGAAGAGACTATTCTTCTCTTAATCTTTTCCTAATCTAGTATGCCATTTGCTTCCGTTAACATCTTCCATGCTGTTTGGGAAATGTTTACACCTTTCCATTATTAACTTCTAATTTCATCAACAGATCTACTGTTCTTAAATCACTGAACAGAGCTTGAAGAAAAAATATTTCTCCCATCCCAAAAAATTCAAAAAACAGTTCTACCCTACACTTGCTATGAGCTCAACCTCTAGTTGAAATTACAAAATAATTACAAAATAATAAGGAAAAATCTTAAAAAAGAAAAAAAAGAAAAAAAAATACTTAAAATCAGAATAATTTCAAAAAATACATATTTTTTTCTCTTTACCTTTTCCAATCTCTTTCAACATAAATTAAAATGCTAGTGATGGCTTCGAGCTGAAAATGTTTTTTAAGATTTTACAAGGGAGGTATTATCAAAATTTTGAGATTAAGTACATGAAAAGCAGATCCAGAGTAATGAGTTCTTTTCAAAAGTGAAATTTGGTCTTATCATTTCAGTCTTATCATTTCAACCATTTGCCCCAGGAAACCATAGACAGTTAAGTAAAAAGTCTTCTATTCCTTTTCACTTCAGCTAAAGAGGATTCTTGCAATTGTTATGTTCAGAGTTCTTCATTTTCAGCAACGTAACTGGGTTTAAGCCACTACAAAGCTTATGATTCAAATGTGGAAGGAAGAACAGGGATTACAGTGACAAAGCTCAATTTATAATCAAAAGTTTCACCTGTACATCTCAACTGTGCTACAAGATTCAATCTTTTTTTTCCAGTTGGACAGTTTTATTCCAGTAAGCGTTTTCCCACATTATCTTTTCTGCTACAAACTCAACCCAAAACACTTTTAATTCCCATATCTGAGAAAACGTAGCTTTCTCATCTCAGAATTTTCAGGAAAGCTCTGAACTCTTCTGCAGGAAAGCCTTGCCTCTGCTACTGAGCTAGACCATGCAGTTTCCCAAACAGCATCCCCCTGCTTTCCCATGTATGCCCAACAAAAATATTCCTCCTGAGACCCACGAGCAACATCAAAAATTATCAGGAGTGGGTCAAACTGGAGAGCTGTGGAGAAGTCTTGGAGTCTGTAAAGGCACATCCTGCTTTCTCCATGCTGCTGCAGAGACCAACCACTGCTTCTCTTGGTTACCTCTTGCTCTAGACAGCAGGCCTGCTCTAGAAAAATAGTGTTAACTAAGCTGCTTTATTATTTCTTGTCTCAGTTTGTGAGCCAAGCTCTGATTCCTGGAGAGAAGTTGCCACCGGGGATCGCATGGCTTGCCTCATGCTCCTTCAGATCCTCCTCCAAATTAAGGATCTTCTTCAGAGCAGCAGCAACATATTTCTTTCTTTTCTGCAGGAAGTCTTGCTCCTCCCTGCACAGGCTGTACCCCAGACGCACATCCAGATCTCCTGAGCTGGAACAGGCAATGGGACAAATCAATACGTGCATCAGCTATAGCCAGTATCAGGACCTGTAAGGGGAAGTAGTCTGCAAATTCCATAAACAAACATTGCCAAGTCTGTATTGAAGTTGAACAAAGAACAGAATAAACATTTCTACTGCCAGCAAGAGGTAGCAATGATAAGTTTCCAAGGTACTTTAGATCTCTTGTGAATGGGAGCACAGAAGTAAAGATACACAGGCCAGAGAAAGATCACCAAAAAAGGGTGGCTTTTTTCTGTATCCATTCCATTCTATCACCATGACATCCAAGAAAACTCAAATGACACCAGTGTTGTCTGTTCTCAGATTTAGTCAGCTCACTAACATCTGAAAGCAGAGGTCGTGTCAAGATGTGTAATGGAGCTTGTAACTCAGGACAAGTCCCACAGCATCACATCGCTCTGCTCAGACTGTCTTATGAAATCCAGACAGCACTTGGAAAGCTTTACAGAGCTGTCTGTCTTTGCTTATGGAAATGTGTCAGATAAACAGGTGAGTAGCACTAGGCAGTTTGTGTGATGCTCAGAGTGAGTGTGTTTTTCTCTGCAGCATTCCGCCTGTATTACTTTATGGTGGTCTTTTCACCTGTGCTTACAGATAAGCTCATTCATAGCTATACAGATACTTAATGCCTTTTACCAGTGTGATTTCTAGCTAAGCATTTATGAACTTAATCTTGCAAATATATGACTATCCACCATTTTTTCCCTGTGAGCAGCCACGCTGAATTTTATCCCTTGAGAAACGTGAAGCACAAGCCAAGAGTTTTGCAGAAGAGAAAGCACAAAACCAAACAGCAATTGATTTTTTGTGCCTTCCCAAGAAGCAAATTTGCTTAGTACAGAAAACAAAACACAACAAACAAACAAACAAAAAGTGTTCTCAATATTGCTCAAATCTTTTGTGTCACACCACCCTCTGGTGGCCACAAATTCTATTCTGAACATACCTTCACTAATGCCTAGGAACACAAAAGTTTGAAGGGTTGTTGTTAGTATTTTCTGCACTCCAGTAAATTTGGTACATGCCAGATTAACTTTGAAAATAAAATAAGGTGATTTGATTGACTTCCTAAAAGCAAACAACAGTCCTAGAGGTAGACAAAAAACTCTAGCACTTCTTGTTGTTCACTTGCTAAGTCTCTAGGATTTACACTTCAACAGATTTTGTAATGGGCTGAGATTGAACAGGAGGCTCTCTTATCCATGCCCTACATTTATCTACACAAACTCCTCCTATGCTCTGTAAATTGATGTTACTTCCCTTTTGCATGTCACCCAAGAGTAAGAACGGTGTAAACAGTATCAAGTTTTCATTTGTACCATAAAACCTCATTCTCTTCAGTGTTATCCGTCATTGGCACCAACATGTTCCCATTAATTGCTAGTGAGAGGTGCATCTGGTCAGGTCCCAGTACACATTTTGCTAAGTGAAGCAGGAGAAGGAACATTTGTTGTTTTTCTAGTGACTTTGCGTAGTCAAAGAGGGATAGAGTTTATTTAACCCATTAGATCTGACTACTGATATAAAGTTAATATGAAAAAAGCATAATTTTATTCATGCCTAAGAATGGCGGCTGTAAAATAAACTAACTTACTCTGAAAATAAAAACGTAGAAAGACTCAAACTTATATTGTCTTGCATGACCCTGTAACCACAATAGACTTGTACTTACCTCGGGCACCACCTGAGTACAGGACAAAACACTCACGTGGTAAGTTTTCCTCTCTCCACTGTCTAGAGAAAAAACCCTAGATAATTGTTTACAGTAATCCTGGACACTTGGATAAAAGGAGGCTATCTTACCATTTTCTTGATGTCAAGTACAACTCAAAGGATTGATCCTAGAAATGAAGAAAACAAAGTTAATTGCCAATAAATTTTAAAAATAGTTATTCCCTCCTTTCAGCTTAGGCAAGGAATGAGGTTCTCAAAAGATAATTCACATGTTCGGGAGTGTTATTTTGGTACAATTAAACAAACTCTGTTCTGGAATCAAATTCTCTCTTATCTAATAAGCCTGCCTGGGACAAGGAACTCACACGTAACACTGAGCATGCACGCTTAGAGCAAGAACCACCAAATAGCCTCATTGAAAAATATTACAAATACTACAGAAAATGTTACAAAACATTACAAACCATTCTCTTAACACCAACATTGAGGTAAGATCTGAATTAAGCTCATATTCTGAGCTGCCTTTTAATTAATAGCCATTGTGAAATTATTCTAATAACAAATTATGGAACACATGTGCGTATGGCCATTTTTTTTTTTTTCCCTTGAAACTCCTTAATTCTAATTTTGGTATGTAGATTTGCAAAGATTAAGCAATTACTACAGTGATTGCTACCATCTGTTTCATGAAAGTGAATATGACAACCTTTATTATTTTTAAACACTTTCAGCAAATATCTATATAATCTAACACAGCAATTTTTCTCTCTTGGTGACCTTATTTCTAGCAGGACAAAATTAAGAAAAGTTCTAAAATATTTATTTCAAAAATGTTCTCGAGCACTCACCTCTTCTACTGTTATTTCCTTCTGCAAAGGGAGTGAATTCAGAGGAAAAGAGAGGACTCCATATTCCTGAGTTCCATTTTTGTCAGCCAGCTGAAATAATGTGAAAAGCAGCAGGGATGCACATGAAAAGTTTGTAATCTCTAGCACTTCTGCTTTTAAGAAGACTGGTTGGCTTCATTATTTTTTTTTCTGCTAATGTCACAATGGTTAATTCTAACATACAGAAGAGGAATGTACCTCTTCTGGTAACATGATGTCCAGTCTTGTCTGGTCATTTATGATGCAATGAAATACAATGATCTGAAGGCTGGGTTCATAGCCCAGGGAAATCTTCTGGCTTCCTTCATGGGATCCTTTCACTGTGAACATAAGCTCCTGATCTAAATACAAAGGCAGGGAACAAAAATTAATCTAACTATTCCAAGCAAACATACATAATTGATAACTGAAATACGTTTTTACTCTGCATGCTTTTTGTCTGATTTTTCTTATACCTCAATGATAAAGTAAACTTTGGGTGGCCAAAATAAATCAAAAACTAATATAGAAACACTTGGTAGACCTTGGTATAAGTCATTAATAAACAGAAATCACACACTTTTGAAATGCTATTATGTTATTACACTTCCCATGAATAAGTAAAACAGAAACTTAGACTTAAAGGAGTGTTAGTTCAAAGGAATTTAGGATTATTCACATTGAACAAAAGATTCGTTTATTTGTTATCTGCTTGTTCTGGTTCATCTTGCACATTGTTTCAAATTCAAAATAGTGCAAAATAATTGACACATGCCTTGTGTCATTACTCTTCCATCAGAATTGTGTCACCAAAACAGAAATGGCCTTGAGTATGCAGAAACCTTGGACATACTCAATCTCAAATCAAGCATACAAAATAAAGTTTTTTCTATATTAAAACTTTTAAAAAGAAAAAGACTTATAACTTTAAAATTTACCTAACAATTTTCATATCGAGCAAGTAATAGCTAAAGATAACACCATTTTTTTTTTCCCAATTTTTTAATTCATAGAATCATAGAATGACAAGGTTGGAAATGACCTGTAAGATTATCTAGTCCAACCTCTTCTCATTACTATTGCCACCACAAACTAACCCATATCCCGTAGCTCCTCATCTAGGTGCATCTTGACCACTGCCAGGGACGGCGACTCCACCACCTCCCTTGGCAGGCAAAGGTGTAGATGGCATTATTTTTGCATCAGTTTAAAATTTGCCATGTACCAAACCAAATTAACCAAATACTTGATTAACTTGAATTTCAACACACACATTTTTTTTCCGCAAGGCAGAGCATGGCAAAACTAAGTATTATGTGACACAGCTAGAGTAACATGCACAACTGATCATTAATTTTTCAACATCTGTTATAATGACTGAATCACAACACAAAAACAGTAGGTTAATGAAGCAATAACCTCACTTGTGGATTGCTGCTTCAGCTTCCCTGTATCCACTCTGACCTCCAAACAGGAAACCTCACGAGCCTGTAACAAGAGAGGACAAATGATGATTAAGAGAAATGTCAATGTCATTGCAAGTGATTCATAGTGTTCTTAACCAAACCCTCTAGCTGATCAATGGCAACACAGCTATTATCTATTATTACTATTAAGAGATAATACTGACAAAGCATTTTTTATGGGTTGGAAAGTAAAGAGGAACAACTCATGAATTGCTTTGAACTTGGAGAGCCAAGGAAGTGAGGAAGATGAGACCTATTTAAAATAATAGGAGTCTTGAGATACAGGACTCTAAATAGAGCATTTTATTACTTTCTTCATTAACTCCTGCTAGTATGGGGCATAATGTAGAAACAGTTTGTAGGAAACTACCCATCAGTGCCTTCCTGTTGCTGACAATACAATGTTTGGGACATAACTCAGTTATCCAAGTTAGGAGTACGTACAGTTGTTATACAGGCATAGGAAAGATCGTAAGAAATAATTACCACTAGCACTCCATTAGTAATGATGCCATCAGGATAGTCCAGACTGGAAAATAAAATGGAAAGAACATTTCAGATAAATATTTTCCCCCCACCAGTTTGACACTTTCAACTTTAATATTCATTCTCAATTCAGAAATGTTTTAAAGCTGTTAACAAACAAAATTCTAGCAGACTGACTGGTCATTCCATCCTTGTCCCATGATAAAATATGAAGCATGGTTTTTACTTATGTCATTTTCCACACTTCCTTTAATGAAGTGTTTAACACAGAATATAGTGAGTTTGAGTTGAGTTGGAGCCATTACAGCTATTCTGATCATTTTGAGCATTACACAGTTTGGCCTAAGTTATTGTACCAAAAAAAAAAAACAAACCAAAAAAAAACACTTGCTCAGGTTACCATAGAAGTATGAAGACAAAGACACTCACATCTATTAAGACATTCGCAAGTAGGATGTGAAATTTTAATATATGCGCCATATGTCGATGTGTTTCTACTTAACCATGTAAGGGCAGAAATTGGTTCATATACCTTAGAAACTAATTTTCAGATTCTTAAATACTTTTTCCACCAAAACCAAGCAAAAAAATCACACCACTAAAAAAAAATAACCAGGCAGCTCCTCATTAAAACATATGTAAAATCATAAGACTTTTGCACCGACTCCTCAATCCAATGCAGAAACTATGAGTAATCTATTCAGACTTTTACAAGTTATTGATTATACATACTGTAATCTCAAGTGTATGACTGTGTGAGACATGTACCACATCTAAGCAGAAACCATGTATTAAGCTTCCATTAAACTCAGATCAATTACATTATTACCAAATTTATTAGAATATTATTTATTAGAATATTATCACAGACTACTAGAATTTATGAATGAAAATAGCTTCACAGAATTTCTCATGACAAAGAATTCTCACAGAATTTCAGACCTGATAAACAACTTAAAAGTTTCATTTTCAAACCAATGTTTTCCTTCAAGAAAAAATAAAAACAACTGCCACCACAACAATTTGGCTAAATGCAGCAAACTCAGGAAAAGTTACTTCTTTCAGAATCTTGAAGGAACATCTCATATTGAAAGATTATGTTAAATGAGTTCAAAGAATATCAGGCACAGAACATACTTACATGTTTCTATCTGTAAGGAAAATGGATATTATTGCAACTCAAGATTTCTTTCAAACTTGTCCACTTATTTGTAGTTAAACCATACATGTCTAATAGTGTCACTATATTCATATATTTCATGAAGTACTGCAAGGAAAACTGAGAAACAGCTGGATGGATAATAAAAGATTTCAGCCTGCATATGCTGTTAAGACGAACATGGAAAAAGAAGGAAAAATGCCTCCTGATGGAGGTAAGTATCCAGAAGAGTGTAGTATTATTTGAGTTCTTGGTATCAACAAAGAATGAAGTTAAACTGAGATCCAAAGCATGACTTTCAAACCAGGTGGAAGAATTTGAACTGTTGCACCAAATGACTCAGAAGACACTTGGGAAGAATTAGGACAGCACAAGCTTTGAGCACTGCCAGAAGAGATATCCCTTTAGAGGTAGAAGCTGTGTGGCCATTATAGTAAGGAAGCCCAGTTGCTGCCATTTATTGCTTACTCTCTACAGTGCACTTTCAACTTTTAGATGCTGAGTTTCAAGGCTTCTGCCATTGACTGAATAGGACATACATTATTATTTTAACCTGATGACCTGTACATTTGTTTTTAAAAGAGCAAAGGCATTCACCTTTCTTTGAAGCTTTGGAGATGAAACACAGAGGAGCTGAGTGTGGAAGAGTTCTTAGCATTTCTTCTGATTGGGACCTTTGAATATTTTACCTATACTTGTGTACTGAATAACATCCATTTATTGACTAATTTGTTAGTTAACATACACTTACTAGCTATCAGTTTCCCTAACAAACAGCCTGCTATCACATGACTCTCATTACACACAGTAACACTTCTGTCCTGTCCTCCATCACAGTTTGTAACCTGTGGCCTTTATAATGCAGGTCTTGGCTTTACTAAGGCAACTGGGAGAACAGTATGGCCTGCAGCAGGGAAAGCCAGGAACAAAAACCCTGGACATCTTTCCCCACTAAATATCTATCAAATGGGGTAGCCAAGACTGATGGGCTTTGTGACCCAGTGGATCACCTCCCATCCTATGCCTCTGCAACACAACACCTGCTCCAGATCAAACTCCCTTTTCCTCCTTCCACCATACCTGGTTTATAATGAAGCAGCCAATACTGTTAGGAAATTAATGCCACTTGGATTCTTACGTTACAACTTCAATTAAAGTAGAAAACCATGTTCTGTTTTACTGGAAAGTCACTTTTAGCTACCTGTGCACGAAATCATAATTCTTTTGTGTCAGATCCAGCTGCTTCCTTTCTCTTTTTAGTGGCATCTGCATACGATAGGCTACTTTTCTGATGACCTGAGAGAGGATGGAGGATGGAGCTATTTCAATTAAAAAAAAAAATGTATTAGCCTCAAGAGATTCATAGGCGACTACTTTCCTTGACTTAAAACTTTTGTCTCATGTGCTCCTTGAGGACTTGAAACTTCCTGACACAAATACATATAAGAACAGTACACTACTCAGCCCTCAACAGACTGAGATTCAGCCCACTCAGTTTCCCCAGCAGCACCCAAACCAAACTGAAGACATGATCTGCTGCTCCGAAGACACACAGGGAAACTTTCTCAAAGCAACACAGCAGAACTACAGAAAGAAATAAAGGCTTTTATTTTCTAAAAATAATCTGTTTGCCATAATTTAATAATTAACATTCAAGTTTTATACAACTTTTTGTACATCTATTTACATTCATTTGCATTAAGTGGGCTTAGTTTTAAGCACTGTCTTTCACATTTAGGAAAAAAATAAGAGGAAAGGGCTGAGGTGAAAGGCTGTGTAAGAGTAGTCCTTCATTCTTCTAAGAATTGTTAGAGATGCACCTCCTCAACTCAGGATATCTGAAAGATAGAAGGAGACCAAAAAGAAGATCATCAGACCCGGAAATACTCTGGGCCCCTCAGACCTCTCCTTGGAAACTTGAAGTACCTTTTAGTTCATCAGAAGTCTATTTGTGGCCACTTAATCACAGGCCCAATCTTCAGTAAAAGTCAGAAGGGAGAGGGATGTTGAGGGAGCGAAGCCACCGAGTCCAGCGAGACTCAGTTTCCCCAGCAATCCGTAAGGGCTCATGCTGTCGCTGGACCCTACCAGAGGAAACATGAGGGAGAAAGCCTGTGTTACTATTGGTAATCACCACAAAGTAACACAAAAAGCACTAAGACATGCAATTCCACAATCTGTGTACAATGACCTTACCTTTTCTGTCACTGCTGCTCAAGGGCAGCAGCTCTCATGCCAGCTGGGCTCATGCTATGGGCCCATAAAACACTGGATGGGTGTTTGCAATCCCTTTTCTTGGTTGCTGGTGAAAAAGTACTTGGAGGAAGGAGCATGCCTTCCTCTCTGTGCCGTTAGGATCAAACGTCTGGCTCTCAGTGCATGCCATGCGTAGTGGCAGCCAGAGATGTATGTTTGAAAGTATTGCAGGCAATGGAACAAGAGTGAGGCAAAACTAGGGAGGACAGTCACCATGCAGTTGTAGAAACCAAGCTATCAAAGCAGAAAGTTTTGAACAAAACAGGAACAAATACCAAAACCAATTTCACACACTCCATTTCTGTATCAAGAAGGAACTTTTGCAATAGTCTTCTGTAAAAGTAACCCAGAAACAACTTTTGCAGTAAGGCAAACAAAAATAGGAGTGACAAAGCCACTATCATAGGTGCAACCCAGGAGAATTATTTGGCCTAGAATTACATCTCCTGTATGATATTATTCATGTGAAGTGTTGGAAATGAAGAAGAGGCTAATATAGTGATTTTTGCAATTGGTAATCTGTAAAGTCTGCGATAAAGACAGGAAAGAAATGGCAAACTAGTTCAGATGAATAGATAAAGTCAGACAGTATGATAATCATTTCCAAGATAAACCGCCAAATTAAAAAAAAGGAAAAAAAGAAAGATGTTTTTTAAAGCACGTTCTCATCATAATACAATTTTTTAGAAAATATTACACATGGTAAGCTGTAATTATGAAAATTATCTCTTATTCTGTCAATACTTCTCTAGTGCAGTGATGCTTTTGGGACACATTAATTCTTTAAGATGACTGCTAACATCACAAGAAGAGGAGCTTACACAGTCCTCTAGTTGGTTCTCTGGCCACTAAATATCTTCTTATCTCATTTTGAAGAGATCTATTCCTCAGTACTTTCCTGCAGAGCTTTATTGTGCCCACCCCATGAGCTTGGCTCAGCAACCACTAGTTTCCCCTCAAATTTCAACAGTCAAACCTTGATTCTGGGAGCCTGGCTTCAGCAAAGACGTCTCATCTGTTATCTCTGACAGCACATCTTTTCTGCGTCTAAGCAGGGAGCCAGCATCACTAACATCCTTCTGTCTATCTACAGGGTAATGTCCCCATTTTTTTCCTGGATGCTGTTCCTTTTCCTGTTTGAAATTCCCCACGTGGGTGTCTCTCTCAATCAGAAGTTTCAAAGCACATATTATGTTCCCCAGGGCTCATTTTACCCCTTGCTGAACAGCCAAGGATTCTCGTTTGGCTGCCTTGCCAAAACCTGCTGAGCTTGTTCAGCACAGGAGAGGCCACTTTGGTCCATAGTTTACTGGTGACCCATCCCAGCTACTTCAGTGTTTCAGCTCTCTCTAGCTTATCACAGGTAATGCAATCCATAGTCTCTAATTTTAGTGCACCAACCCTTTCATTCATTATTCCTGACAGAACACTTTTCTGTGTTGACAGAAAAACAACAACAACCAAACAAAAAGCCGCCTCAGTATTCTTAGCAAGGGGGCTCTCTCGAAAACTATTTTTAATCATCTCACACATTTATTCCAGACTCGATTGATAGGCAGAACACCATCAACTTCCATGCATGTGCAAGAAACATGAATGAGGGATAGCAAGTGAAACATTTATCTACCTTAAGAAGCATATTTCCCCAAGTGTTTTTCATCTTTCCAGGCCTGCTGGATCCACTCAGTGACATCCCCTATCCCAAGTGCAGCAATTTCTCCCCTTTTCTCTGGAGTTCTTCAGGTCACAATTACTGCATTAGTCACTGAGTTACCATGCTATGAATAAAATGTGGATCAGAAGCATTCTTGTAGCAACTAAAATCTCTCTTCCTTGGGAGTGCCAAGGGTCCTTTTTACTTGTATATTCTCCAGCGATTTTTCTTCAGTCAATAGAATTCTCAGATTCTGCAGAAGATGGTTTCTCTCTGACTTTATCTACCTAACATGCCTCTAGGAAAACGCAACTAGGTGCAAGATTCAAATAACAGTTTCCACACACAGCCAGCTCTCACACATTACATCCTCTGCACCCATACATGAACCCACCTGCCCAGACCTCCCTCATCAAAACACAGAATTATCAAGAGTATAATTCTACACACCAAATCCATAAACCATCCTACAACTGGGAAGACCTTAGTCAGATCATTTGGAATATCTAGTGGAGCTCCTTCCCCGTTGCTTTTACTGATTTCATGACATCCTGAGCTGTAATAGGCACATTTGTCTTCTGCCAGTTTTGGTACACAGTAAACAACAAACAATCCAGACTGGTAAGTTTATATGACTTGTAATAAGAGATTCTGGGACTATTTTTTATCTCTGAAAGTTCTTTTGCTTGTGCACATAACACTGTGCTACTGCTCTTTCTCCACAAGTTCCTGATTTCCCTTCTGGAACTAATATCGCACTTTCCAAATTCTTCACCAACATATTAGCATGACGATCCTCCAAAAACACCCTTAATGCCTCACGAAGGTCCCAGCAATACCAGCTCACCTCTAAGGTTGTTTTAACAATGCTTTCAGTCCAACAACACATATCACATATAATTGATAACAGAAATCTTTTCAAATAACTTTCCCAGAGTGATAAAGCATACTACAGAGATAGATATTGTCCTGAATCAGAGTGCCAGAAAAGGGTCAATACGAGATACCAAGGTATAGCATTCCTTTTTCTAATCGTTAAAGTTTCTGTAATATTTTAACTTGTACTTCCTTCTATACTAACCCAATGAGGAAAAAAGAACTGGAGGACATAGGTGCCCAGGAGGCATTAGTCATGCCAGACAAAAATTAGTTTCAGATATGTAAATCATAAATTCTGAAATTTAAATTCTGAAATTCCAGTTTACTAGACTTGAATGAACACATCTAGACACTGCTTTGGAGACTGCGGGTTGAAAAGTGCTGTCACAGATGAATAAGCTTTCCACACTACTTTTATACTGAATATGACAGCTTATACAGAATATAAGAGTCTACTCACGTGTTCTGCAATGTGAACTCCACCTCCAGCTCCTCGCGTGCCTGAAAAAAGGAAAAAGCAGAAAGAAGAGTATATTTCTTAATGTTCTTCACGTACACAAGTTGCGTATCATTTGTAAAATAAACATATTTATACTTGCACTTGGAACAGTTCCCTGAACATAAGAGTAATTTGCAAAAGAAAGAAACTTCAGTGTCAAATGAAGGTATTCAATTCTGAAATACTGAAAAAACATTTGCTAAAACTAATATTTTGACATCTAAATCACATACGAACATGCAGATGTATTATTTGCCCATTCTCATAAAACAGCCATTTTTCACATTTCAATTCCGAATGCAAAAAATTAGCTGTGTTATAATTACAAAAGTTCAAACTGGTGTGGAACACTGCTATAGGGATTTAATTATTTCTGATAATAACAAAGAAATACAGTTCAGTGAAACTGTAGGGAAATGCTATATTAGGATATATTTTGGTGGAAGAAAATTAGTTTTCATGCTCACTGATTCCATTGCTCACCTGTGGATTCAGTTGAAACTTCACTCGAACAGTACGTCCTACACTAAGTTTATCTATGTCAAAGAGAACCGTGCAGAGTTCATCATCCCTGGTGACTGTGTCTTCATCGCAAACCTTCAGCTCCAGCACATTCTGCAAAGAGATGTTAAGAATATTGTGGTTTTCTTTCAATACTGTCTTTCAAAGAACTTCGTAAGGCAGTATAACCTCAAGATTAGGCTTTCTTTTTCCCTCCAATTTTTGAAGGAAAGAAGGAAAAAGGACTACAAGACACATAAAAGGGAAGGGGATTTGGGAGCATGGGTATTGAACAAAAAATACATATACAAAGAAGCACATTAATCTGTCATACAGCCTAGGTGATATAATTTGCCTCACATTTGCCCTGGGGCTTGATTTGATAGAATGTGTGCTTGGGGAAAGGAAACAAGGAAGGCGCGTCATGCAGAACACTCATGAATTTGTTGTAAATAACTGTATTAAATGCTGCTGCATTTGTTGTGTGACCTTTGGCTCTAAGCATATAGAATGGGCACAGCTGTTAAAGGATTTTCTTTCCACCATACCTAGAGCTAACTTCATGTTTATCTTCTATGTGATCTTTATCTTGGGTTTCACTTGTATATGTTAGGACAAGGAACTGGATACTGTGGACATTTTCTGCAGGGAAATTAATTGCTTCTTATTGTTTCAGAATAGTAGACATCTAAGTACCAAACTTACCAAGGAGGATGCAAGCAACAGTTGTAGTTGCTGTAGCTCTGCAAGATGTACTGACTACATGCAGGTAGTGAATAGTGAAAAGCATTTATTTTCATTACCTTCACTCGTCGGTCAATCTTGTAACAGAAAGCTTCATTCCAGACTGGATTTTTGCTGTTCCTGATGGTTCTGGTCCGAACCTTCTCAGACGAGGCAGTAGGCAACCACAATGTCACATAGCAATCTGAAAGGGTGACTGCATAACAAAAAGAGCAGTGATGATGTGTCTAGAGAAAGAAATACTGCAATATCTGTTTATCGCCAATAAGACTGAGGTAACATCATAGGGGATTTTTCCTGAAGCATGTAGATTAAGGAATAAATAGTACAATGAAGTACTCACTGGAAAACAGAAACATTCTTGCATGTTTGTCAGGCTGATTCCCACTTTTTAATCTTGGTCAAATTATTTCTCTTTTAAAACATGACTCTTTATTTGCAGTAGCATTTTCTATAGATGCACACCTATCCATGCTGCAGTAAACTCTATACTCATGACTGCTCAATGACTGGAGCAGGAAGTAGTTTATCATTACCAAAGCCAAGAGCATCTATCAGTATATGCCCTGTCCAAGGAGCACTCACATCAGAGCAAAGAGATTTGTCTTCTTGTATGCTCTCCTCATTTTTGAGGGACTTAAAAGTAGTTGAAAGCCTTTAGCCAAGTGATTGTTTAAATGAATGCAGTTTTCTTTTGGTTTTGTTTTTTTTTTGTTTGTTGTTGTTGTTGTTGTTGTTGTTTTGTTTTGTTTTGTTTGCTTGCCTTTTTTTTTGTTGTTTGTTTGCCAAAAGGTATCATACCTCTGTTAATCCTTATCGCAAATCACAATGCAGCAATTTCATTTTGATTAATGTTTGACAATTTTTAGAAGTGGTATCTTCCTCAAAAAGTTTTCATCGTTATGTTACAGTTTATCCTATTCCCTTCTACTGCCCCATCTGCAGACTGACAAATCCTGCCATCACTCCTTTCTGGAAAAGAAAGCGCCATCAGAGATATCAGTTCCTTCCATATTCCAACCCCTCACACTCAGATGGAAAATTGCCAGAGAGCAACTTACAGAAAGTTGGTACAGGATGCAATGACCCTGGTCTCATACCTAGAATGTATTACGTATTCTTCCAATTTCATGTTAGCAATGCTTAACAAGTCATTTGGTTCTCAAAAGAACCCTATGAGTCAAGAGGTCAAATAATTCAACCCCTAGTCAGTCCCTGCATCACCCAAAATGTGTAGCAGTGTTACTGTGTCACATTAAATACAATTTTCTTCCTGTTATTTCCTCATCATCTTTCAATAACAGTTAAAGAATTGGGTTCTTCTAACATAATACTTTGCTGAAGCTGCACCCTCATCACACAGTTAACAACACTACTTGTAGTCTGAGGGAGCTTGGTAACTGCCGTGGGAAGCACAGCGTATCCAGGTGGTGCCTAGACCAGCCCTGATCTGAAGGACATGACCAATCAGATCTTCAGCAAAGGCACAAGTGTAGGCAGATGGAAATTCAAATGGTTAATGGTGATTAATAGTGGAGTTTCCATTTTCAAAGAGATTGACACACACCAATGATTTACTTCACTGTGGCAATGTAAGGATTAAGCAATTAAGTACATTGAGAAAACCTGAATAACTTGCCCAGGATTCCACAACACAGCCAGAACCAGGTCCAAAGCACAGTCTAAATTACTAGGCCTATACCCAAATCTATTAAAATTATCTTACTCTGGAACAATAGTAGGGTAAAATATGAAAAAACACTGGAATGGGGAGCATCGAAGTTTAATCAGAGCAAAAACAAAAGCCAAAGCAGAGCAAAAAAGCATTAACTTAGGATTGTAATGAGAAGCATATCATTTGTATTATAAAATTAGACAGAAAATTGATTTCTTCCTGCAGCCTAAAATACTGAGGTTTCAAGGAAAACGAAAATATTTGGATTCTCAAATGCCTTTTCAGTGCCTCAGAACATGTCCTTCTGGCTACAGACAAAAAGACCTCAAATTATTTTTTTCCCCAAATAATTATGTTTTCTCAGAAAACAAATTTTCTGCAAGAGAAGACACTCTTGCTTAAGAATTCTCTGCCAAATATGCTTTAAACAAACCTGTTGAAAACCATACTCAAGTTCTGAATTTGGGGCATTTTAAGGGAAGAAATATACAATATGCATCCATTCTTGGGACCAGAACACAAGGAAATAAGCCAATACATTGTGACAAACAAATCAGTTGGCTTCATGAAGAAAGGCCATACTATTCACTGTGGCAAGCAATGATTGTGAGTAATTTCTTTTCCTGTGAACAACCACAATGAATTGAAGCATAAGCAGGCAACCTGCTGGAGTACACAAATGCACACACAATTGAGCATGCAGGTTTGCGGGTGCAATTGCAGTGACTACCCACTCAAATCACCATGTAAGCATTTGAATAGCTATTTTTTGTTAAGTAAAAATGCAGTGCATACAAAGCCTACAACTATCAAGTGCATGTCTATGAAAATCAAAATACATCTTTATCCTCTAAGAAACCTAGAACTTCACAACTTATAATACTCTTTAGCTTTGCAAATAGTATTTGTGACAAGGCAGATACTATGGAAATAAAAGTTTGATGATCTGTAATTTCTAGAGTAAAAAGCATCGAGACATAAACACTGAATAGAATATTCTCTTGGAGAAAACTGAAGACACCCAATAAATAAGTACACTAGTATTGCATTGCAGAAAACATAGGATTAAGTAATATAGAATACGATGAGTGAGTGAAACAAAGATTTGTTCTCTGATAGTAAGTGTTCATTCAAAAATAATCTTGTTGCACAATTTCCACATGTTCCAACAACATTCTTCCTTTAAGCAACCATTTCCAACTTCTGACAAGCTTTCTCTACTCTCTACCCATCACATTAGATAAAATCCTAAAATATACAGTACACAAACTAAAATGCATATTTTGTTTCCTTAGAAACTGCTAAACTGCATGAAATCCTGAGAAGACAATTAATTTTGAGACACATTCAGCATGATTCTGGCGAACATAATGTTGATGATGCACTCTAAAATAAGTCTCATACAACGAGGCATGAAGCCTGAAATTGAATGCACCACCTTGTCCAGATTGGACTCTTTATACTAAGGTGCAGAGAGCAGTACTTCGGACAACAGTAAAAATAGAACTTACAAACTTATAGCAATACACTTCAGTATTCCCACACAACTTGAGGACAATAATGTTGACCAAATAAGAAACTATAAGCAATATTTGACAACTACAGAAGTACTTACGCAAGTCTGCCTTCCGGACATTCCTCAGCCTTAGTATTTTTACAGTAAGCAAGTTGAAAGGAGATACTGGCCTCTGCAGAACAATTTAAAGAAAAAGAAACAACAGCAAGATGAATATCAGTCTCTAGTCAGACTTCTGCAGGCTCTAACCTTGAAGTATTAAGCACGTGGATAAAACAGATTTTAAGGTTGGGCTATTATCAAACTAGTTGAACTATTTGGAAAAATTATATGTATTTTTGGCATATAATCCTTTCTAGATCTGATAAAGAAGGTGCAGATTTCAAAACTACATGAGGTGAGAACAGCTGTTGAGTTTAGTTTGATAAGAAACAGTTCCTTCTAACTCTGCTTCTCTACTATCAAAATGAGCCTCCTTACATCATGCACTTTGGTGTCCTTGGGTCTGGAATGTAATGGACTGCCTATGGGACTCTTAATAGCTGTCACAGTTGCTGTGCAAGTAGACCAGAAATGCTACTGAGAGTCAGGAGATATTTCTCATGAAGACACTGATCTACAGCCCTGGTTCCCAGCAGAAAACTAAACTACTCTTATCAGTGACTATCCTGGGAATCAACTCATAATTCGATATCAGGTACCTTCAGCTCAGAAATTTTTTTTTTATAAAACCTCATAACTTCTATGTACTAAACTAGCATGTCACCATGTTCCTTAGGCTAAAATTGAACTTCCTCCCCATTTCGCCTTTGAGATGACTGCTTAACATGTTTCTCTGCTTCTCCACTCCTGCATTAACGTCTCCATTTCATAGGTACCATTGTTCTTTTTAAAATTGTTGTATGAATATATAATTTCACTTAACACTTTCTTAGAACTGATATTGAGCTTTGAGTCTACTGGTTCTATGAAAGACCAAAAACAGGTTTTTTGTGCCTCAGAACGTCTAATCTTTCCATCTATGCCAGTTGGTAAGAAAATGTATTAATTTTACTCATAAACTCTCTCACGCCTGCATTCATAGACATAATACACCCTAGTAAAGTGAACACATATTGTTCTAACACAAGCACATGGGTTTTATCACTTTGCACCTGAAGTGTTTATATCAACACAAGAGGAAAAAGTAAAAATGATTTGCTGACATTACATAATCAAATGTATCTTATTACTATTCCTTCACATATTATAGGCTTTGTTGGACCATGTCTTTCTAGTTGCAGCAGAAATTTTATCCTGTAGAGTTTCACAACACTTGGACAAAATTAAGCAAACAGGACAATAACTTGGCAATGGACCCAATTATAGTGTAATAAAGCAGATCTACATCTTCACCAACAAAGCCCCTGGCTTCTCCAGGATGGCAAAAACCTCGAAGAAACAACCTGGCTAACACCCTTCCCTCTTCCCCCTGGGTTAGCAAAAGGCCCATGAGGCAATCAGAAACAACAAAAATACACAATGCTCAGACTTTAGAGTTGAACTGACAGAAGTGCTTTCCTATATGCATTAAACATGAGGGAGACTGACATTTTTCTTCCAGTACCTGAAGGGGGCCTACAGGAAAGCTGGGGAGGGACTTTTTATAAGGACATGTACTGACAGGATGAGGAGAAATGGTTTTAAACTGGAAGAGGGTAGATTTAGACTAGATATTGTGAAGAAATCATGAAGAAATGGGGAGAAAATTGGAAAAAGTTGTCCAGTAAGGTTGTGGCATTCGAGACTAGGCTGGATGGGGCTTTGAGCAAACTGATCTAATAAGAGGGGCCCCTGCCTATAGCAGGGGGGCTGGAACTAGATAATCTTAAAGGTCCCTCCCAACCCAAACCATTCTATGATTCTATGATTTTTACATTGGCAGATAACGATAGGACAAGGAGAAATCACTAGAACTGAAAGGCGAGAGATTTAGATTAGGTATTAGGAGGACATTTTTTACTCAGAGGATGGTGAGGCACTGGCACAGGCTGCCCAGAGATCAGGTGATGCCCCATCTCTGAAGGCATTCAAGGCCAGTTTGAATGGGGCCCTGGGCAGCCCAAATCAAATCCTTCTATGATTCTATGCATTAAATATAATTGGGCATGACAAAGAACCAGTCCTAGACCCAAGGATCAACAACCAAGGCTTGCCTATCCCTGCCACACACACTGATGTATTTGTTACATGTATACCTGGTCCCTATTCTCTCACCCAAAAAAATCCTGAATGTCTTTGTCCTCAATAGTACAATTTTAGCAGAAGATGTAGAGAATACCTTTCCCCAGAAAAGCTAAATCTTGTATCTCTTGAATACTGAAGAATGGGCATGAGTAGAAAAATCTCCCATTGCAGCAAAGTGCTATAACCACTAGGCTGGATGCCATTTTTAGGAAATAAACTTTGCCTTTTTCTTTAAATACCAGGGTCTAGACCTCTGCTTTGCTTATCCAGTGGGTAGTGGTTTCTTCATTCAGCCCTAAGTAGCATACAGAGGTAGGATATAAGCTATAACTGCGTCCCTGAGCTCAGTTTTCCCCATCAGCTGGGTGTGCTTAGTTACATGGTTCCCTTACCTGTTGTAACAATTCCCATACCAGTATAACTCACCAAATATATGGAATCTAACTCTGCAAATGTATTGAATCAATCCCCAGTGCTTAACTCAGGGTTGTGAAGACTCAGAAGTCTAACATTATGTCTCCTAAATGTAGGTGTTGGAATGCTTTGTCAGATCCAGATCACAACAACTTACAGTCACTTGGAAAAGAACTCCTGAGAGGCATATCTTAAACTGGATCCTTTGCTGTTAATGACTTAATGTTGTTAATGCTGGCAATGATTTCCACATGTTTCCCTTTAATCTGATGATGACCGTATCACAGGCTGGGTGAATTCCAAGGCCAGAAGCCTCCCAGGTCAGCTATTACATGCACTACAACTTTCGGCTTCTGTGTTTATTTGGTCTGAGACCTGATTGTTACCTCATAAACCGGAAACACAAGCCAGGCATTTTAATAATCACTGTTGAAACTACTTAAATATATGAGATTACAAACACAGGAATTGGTCACCCTGTCCTACGTCAGATAAAAGTCCTGTGGCACGTTTGTGCAATCCTGACATATCTGTTCCCAGGGAAGTCAGTGGCACTGTTCACATGCATTGCTCATCCATATGAATAAGAGCTGCGTAAGTGGACCCTAGAACTGTTCTATTTCAGTAAAATTCCTTCTGCACTTCTAAAGAAATTGTTCTTCAGGAGACTAGAAACACATATGATATTCTTGAGTTAAATCAAGTGAAAAGGCAATTATTAAAGCAAAACAGCGTGACAGATGTATTTAGAGCACTGCCTTCTTTCCTTAGCTTTCTCTTCGAAACAAAATAGAAGACTCATCCCTATACTAAAACTTGAGAAGACCAACAAAGAAAATGCTCAGCCCTGTCAGAAAGCCCAGCAGGACACCAAAACCCACATCACTGCCATGGCTCTGGCCTCCATCAGGTATGTGGCACCTGCTAACTTCAAAGAGCTCTGGAGCCCCAGGGCCAGGCAGGATTTCATTACGTTACCATGTCTGCTACCTCAGGCAAGGTCAGATGTATAATAAACACTTTCCTCGCACTGTGCATTTTATATTTATTTCACCCATTTTAAAATATCCCATAGCTAGGTCATGTTAAAAGTTGACAAAGCTCACTAGGGTTGACACAGAATAAAAACAAATGGACCAAGGCTTCATTCCTTCCAAGAGCTATGTAAAATGTGCATGGTTCAGACTGCCATTTTCATGTGTTTTTCACTTTTTCCCCACCTGCACTTCCACGGCATTCTCATTAGAATAAATCCAAAACTTGGAAGAGAAGAGAAACTGAGTCTAAAATTTGCACAGTTCAGCATGGCTTTCTGTAAAGACCATGTTGGTCTATGTTATTTTGATATGATACAGTAATTCAAGTAATCAAAAAAGTTGGGTTTTTTGTTTGTTTGTTTCTCTACATTTTTCCACCAAGTACCTTACATTATCTTTTTAATTTAAGTGACCAATTCAGTTTTGATCATAAACACATAAACATTCCATGAATTATCCTGACGTTGACTCGTAATGAAAGCTAGTTTCCTTGTAGAGCTAGAGTGGCATAAAACATCTCAAATGTTTGACATCCACATATTTATCATCACAACTACTAATTGCCTTGGCCAAAAAAATATTTTAAAAAGTCAGGTCCTTAATGATTTTATTGCTTGTTCTTGTTTTCCTTTCCTAAAACGGCAAGAAAAAAAGGGCTCTGTGTCCTACTCCATATTGTATTTACTATATTCAGTTCAGCTCTGCCACCCTAAATACTGTAAAGATGAGAGGCGTGACCTAAGGCCAGAGAACTGTACAGCTCTCACCCCTAGAGACCCATTTGTAAAATGAAAGGCAAAGGAAAAAAAAAACAAGTTTGATCCTGTAAAACAAAGGATTAAAAAAAATAATTTATGATGTTAGCATGCTTCCTTCTGACTGTGAGATTATACACAGAAGCCTAAACATCATTTTCATAGCCACTTTTTAAAGAAACATTGCAGTCAAAGTCTTGTTTGACTATGGCATTTCACCTTGGAGGAGCATAGACAGCATCAAACGGCTCTCAGTCAAAATCAGATATCAAATACCATCACTAACAGCAAACCTTCATGTGACAATGACCAAAATCACCACCATCTGGGAGAGCCTCACCGCAGTCCCCCACCACCAGGATCATGCGCAATCAAAGCTCAAACCAACCAGGCTTATAAGCCACCACATCACCAATGCAGGGCAAGAGCACCCAGCCAATGGCAAGTATCTGAAGACAGCCCCATTCTGCTGCCACTACCCCCCATTCATCAGCTCAGAACAGTAGCTAATCTGACATTTTCCTTTATGCTAATACTTATCAACCTGAATGTCTGCTAATTACTCAGGAAGTTTTCATTTGCCGAAGAATGCATCCTCAGGTCCATCTCAACAGAATACCTAGGGTTTGGTTTTTGTTGGTTTTTTGTTTTTGTTTTGCATTTAGAGCTTTGGCACTATTTCTACTGTGAGGATAATGAATCTGGAGAGACAAAATAAGACACATTCATTCCAGTTTTACATGTTCTGAAGCTGAATTTTTAAGCAATTACGCAGTGAAAGTTAAGTTATATGAGAGGTATATACTCATGTAACTCAAATGAGAGGTAACAAAAAAAAGATTACTACAGCACTAAGAAACATTGAAACATCCACTTACACAGAAAGAACAATGCAAGAGGCAAGTTTCATCCAAAGAAATCAAAATATAATATAAAAAGGGGAAGGAATTGAAGATTCCTTCAATTGAAGGAATCAATTGTTGAAGAACAAACCTGCCCAGATATAGCACAGCACCAACAGCACCAAAAGCATCAAAAAAGTAAGGCAATACTTCACCCCCAGAGCTGAAGCTGCAGCTTAACCTTTCAGCATTCCGTAACTAAGCCAGCACAGTTTTCCCCTGAGCCACTGAATTCCCAACATTTTTCTGGTGCTGTACATTCAGCACTGGACAGCATTTAATGAAGGGGCAGCTAATTACTACCTACCGTTCTCTCCACTGGCGCTGAGGTGCCCGTAAATGTCTAGGAAGAACAATACAAGGCAAAGTTAAAAAACTAAACTAAATGTTCAACTTTTGTTTTAGGCTGGCATTTAAAAACATCTCCCATTCAAAATCTGATTTGGGGCCATGAGTATTAATGACAGCCATTAGGTGCTTTAGTAGTCACCAAACCCATGTCAACAACTCCATGGAAGCTTCTTGCTTTCTTGACATGCAGCTTTTCCTTTCAGCAGGCACAACAAGTGATGCTGCTAACCTGAAAATGTAACTGGAAAACAGACATGCCACAAGGTTCTGCACAATGCTAGCCTAGGAAAACACTCCTTGCAACCCTAAGATCCAAGGAACAGCAACCCTGCCTCCTGTGGCTTGCCCATACACCTAAAACAGCTTGTTCTCGGCTATGGAAAATTAGAATTCCACCCACTTTACACCTGCTGGAAAAGACCTTTTAGGTCTTTTCCAACCTTGGTGATTCTATGATTGTATGCTAAAAGCTTCTTTTGCTTACCTCATTTGAGCTTAAATTTGATCCCATTGCAGCCCCAGTTGCATCTAAGTTCAATGATAAAACACACCGAGCTGTATGGCTGGCAGGAACTCCTCATGCATATTAGGGGTGGAGGATTAGGGATTTTATGACCAGGTTCTCCTGCCCCACCCCTTTGTTATTCCCAGTCATTAGGCAGTCCCCTCCCTGCTTCCTGCAGCCTATTGGAGCATGTCAGCTGAGTCAGCAGAATGAGGAGATTCCTTTTCTACCTACTTTGTGTTTCAGGGTACACTGAAACCCCTGTCTACCTGGGGGTTTCTACAAAATACTACTGCTAACTGTTAACTCAACTGTCTGTTACTTACTAAATCACAGCTCTCAGCCGCCCTACCACAAAGCTACCAAAGTACTGGGAAGAGATCCCAGAAGCTGCCTTCCATACCCTGAACTCTATCCAGCACCCATAGCAGCAAGCTGCTCAGCAAGGTAAACTGACTTGGTGCTTCAGCTAAATTTGCAGCATACATGCTCTTCTAACGTTATTTGGACATCTCTGTGCTAGCCTTAGTGACCTAACCACATGCTCAGTATCCTTTGCCTGGATATTTAGTCTATCTGCAGGATAAAAAAAAAAAAAAAAAGAATCATTGCCCAGAAAAGCTTGCAGTTATGTGCAGTGAGAGAAAATCAGGAGCTACAAGCAGTAGGAGAAATCTGGGGGAGGACAGGTGAGGCAGGAGGGGCTGTGCTCAGTGCGTGGGCCCTGGGAGCACAGCCACTCATTCAGCAGGGTATAGCGTACAAAGGGTTCCTGTGTGTGCCCCACTCACAGCAGCTCCAGCTGGCACCACAGCGGAAACATCTGGGTCCCAAATGCTTCCTGGTGCCTCTTTTTGATAGGACAAGTGTGAATGGCATTGAACTAAAGAAGGTAGATTCAGGTTAGATGTTAAGAAGAAATTCTGTACTCACAGCAGGGTGGGGCACAGGCTGCCTAGAGAGGTTGTGGGTGCCTGGAGGTGTTCAAAGCAGGTTGGCTGGCGCCCTGGGCAGCCTGATCTGATGGGTGGCAGCCCTGCCCATAGCAGGGGGTTGGAACTGGATGATCTTTAAGGTCCCCTCCAACTATGCCATTCTTTATTTCTATAATTTACTTAGTGTGCAGTGACTCAGTGCTTGTAAGGGCAATGTATTACAGGAGCCCTGCATTAGCATGTGTCTGTAGGTTGGCAAACTTTGGAGTGTGTGACATGAGATTCTTGCTCTGCCACTCTCCTTCCTGTCTCCCTGCTTGATGACAGGGGGAGGGTAGTACTAACACTTGCATCACAGATCCCAAGTAGGGCACAGGGCTTGTGGTAAGGAAAGGTTCGGTATCCGAAACACATTTTTAAATCAGCCCCTTTCATACTGATGCATAATCCACTTCTTCCTTAATTTCTGCTTTTGTTACTTTATATCTGTGTTAAATGCTTATGAATAAATCCAGGCAGAGCACTCACAGTTGAGTATCATCCATTTATGCTCTTGCAAAACTAGTTTTTCCAGCTTTAGAAAGAAGAATGCTTTTCTGAAGAAAATACAGTATTAAAAAATAAAGTATGAATCTGCTGCAATGAATAAATAAATAAACCACCACACATTATTGATCAAATGAAAGAGGATCAGTCATTCAGCTTGGTTTCCTCAGCTTGCCACAGCAGATGCTGTGCTGGAAAAAGAGGAGGAACTCTATCCTCTCCTTGGGCAATCAGAACCCATTACTTAGTTCATTTCTTAGCCGCAAAACAGAGCAGCCCCTTGTTACCACCCCAGCTATTTCAAAGCCAATGCAATACTGCCCAGCATTACTTTCATAGAAACATAGAATCACCAAGATTGGAAAAAACCTCCAAGATCATCTAGTCAAACTGTCCACTTACCAATATTTACCCATTAAACCATGTCCCTTAGTACAACATCTAAAAAGGGGATATCACCTCTTTGTAATTTGGAGTGTTGCATTCATTGCATCTTTATTGCTGAACAGTTTAATATTCAGATTGCTTTCTCAAAATAGTATAATTATTCCAACACCCAAAACATGCTCTTAAGTACCTCTTCCTCTCCTGCTCACAACCATCACCAAGTTTTGTAGCTGATGTAGCCTTCCCTTAGCCACAGCTTATCCCACACACGCGAGAGAACTTTGAAAGCTTTGTAAAAGTCAAGAATGATGATCAACAGATGTAAGTAGTGTTTCTTTCTATCATTAACAAATAACACCTCTAACAGAACATTTTTCTCATCACTGAAGAAGCTTTGTCTGCAGACCACTGTTCTCATGGAAAGGTAATATTGCAAGGCTTATACAATCCATGTCCAAATAAATTCTGATTTTGCAGTCTGTCCCGCTGTTGTTTAACAAGTGTTAGAAATGCATCCTAGGATTGTGATTTCAAAAAAGATTTCTACTTCAAAGTATAATTTATTATGTTGGGGCTTTTTACATTTTTCTTGAATTCTTTTCAAATTACGGAGACTTACAAAGACAGCCATTAAGTAAACTGTGGGAGAAGTTACTCAAAGTCTCGTAAGCCATATATTGGAACTAACAGATTTTTTTTAGCCAGTACATTTCCAGAGTAAATAATTCAAAACCAGTAGTGTTCTCCATATAGATGCTACTTATACTCTTATTTCACTTTTTAAAGACTAGGGAGACAATTACACACAAGGAAACGCGAAGTAATCTTTAAAGCTCTGAGCAATGTAAAGGAAAGTAAAAATGAAGATGTAATTTTCTCTGCTCTCCATCTGCTTTGAAGTACGCATCTACATACACATGTATCTCAGTCTCAATTAAAGGAAAGTGAAGCAAATATGAATATCTTGCTGATCTGATGCAGCCAAAATTAATTTGAACTGCCTTACTGCAAAGACTACTGTCCCCAACAGAGACACAATTATCTGGATATAAGTGCAGTAAGTTGCAAGTTGCAATAAGTTGCAGTAACAACTGCATCCAACATCTTATGATTACCTCATATACACCTTCATCAACTTCTGATCATCTAGGACTACAGAAATGTATGAGTAATGGGGGATTTCATATTATTACAAGAGAAAAGTATGATTGTTCTACCTCTGTAATGACCTCTCATCACTTAAGCACCTTGACTAGTGTTTAAATTAAATCACAAAGGTAGTTCAATACCCCAAAAACAATTGAGAAGTGTTATAAAATGACAGTGAGATGTCTTAGTAGGAAAGAAGTATTCAGAGTTAACAAATAACACAAATTAACAAGTAAATAAAGAGCGTCAGCTCTACAGATGGAGGATCTTCTCTGGCTCTAGCCTTTGTCTTTTTTTTTATTATTATTATTTTAAAACACATCTGTAAGCTATACAATCTACACAGACATTCACCTGTCAATCAAGCAAGAAAAGCAGCAGGTCAAAATCAAATTTCAGTTGCACAGTGGAGCTAAGCTAGAATCTCTGCATGTGAGAAGGCTTAACCATGGATGAATAATGACACCCCCTTCCCCATAGTCTCAGATTTCATTCTGAGAAACATTCATCTTCAACATACTTACTCTTCCATACTCTACAATGCACTCAAAGTAAAGGCAGAACTAATTCCGTCAGTGCCCATACTTTTCTTTCCTGTCAGGTGGGAAACATAGGACCTGTATGGTAAACTCCATGTAGATCTTCCTAGTGTTGAGCTGTAAGAGAGATATGGATGTTGCTGTTAGCTAAAAAGAAATCTGGTGCCAGGATCACAACAATTGTCAGTATCGTGGACTGCGGTTCGATTTGAAAACACCCAGAATCAGAGGTGTACTTTTACAGAATGAGAAGTGAGCTCCACTCAATCAGTAATAACATGACTCTGGGGAAGTGCTGACTGAATAGGGAATTTTGCAAATGAAACCTTTTTTTCTTTAATTTAAAACACATTTCTAAAACATGATTTCTTAACAAATTATGCCACACCAGAAATCATGCAAATTATTTGAAGTTTCACTTTCTCCAAAGTCAATGTGTTAAAATCTTTCAGGACTGTCTGACATTTTCTTTCTTTCCTTAACCTAAACAACATGCTGAACCAAATTGCTAAAGGGTTTCAAGCAATCTAAAGGGGACCAGGTGCAGAGGCCAGAAAAAAAAATCTGAAAATCTGTATATCACCCTCTTGTAAGTAGTAAAGACCTTCAAACTTAATGTGAATCCAAATCCCCGAGAATGAGAAGTGCAAATTCACTGCCACTGCAGAGAGAAATCACATCAGCTGACAGGGAGTAGAGGGGATTACATTTTTACTAAGGCATTAATTTGATTATGACACATATGAAGGAGGATTCTGCCTTCCAAAAAGTATTGAGAAACTTGTTTAAAAATTATTTTGCATGTCCTTGGCATCCTTTGAAGAGATAAAGATCTCACCCCTCCTACTCACTCACAGGAAGTAACTGAATGTGTCTCCCATACAAAAATATGGAAGTATATCCCAAGTTCATTCAACACTTCAGAAACTGTCCAGACAATGTTTTTTCTTCCCTAATCCTCTCAGACAAGAGGTGTGAAACACCTCTCTGTGTCACCTAATGAGCCAGTAATTCCTGCAGCATAAGCATGGCAAGACACATAGCCTAGGAACTTCACAGAGAAATCTAGAGCTCAACTGAGACCAAACCAATACTCAAAATATTGTCAAAGTCACTTTATGTCATGAGCTAATTAAGGGGTTAACTGCACCTACAGTCAGCCTGAGAAATGTCTAAGTCCCAGAAGACTATAAATATTCGCAGCTAATTGCTTCCAGTAGAGTGCCATCACATTAAGAAGAGCTTGTGTGACAGGTCACAAACAAGTGTTTCTAAAAGAAGAAATTGTTGACCTGACTGGACCCAGATTAGAACAATTACACCAGTGCTGAATCACTTCAAAAATCCAGCCAATATACCAGTACATTACTAGTGCATGTGCAGGCCAATACATCACTAAGCCTCAGTTTCCATTAAAAAACATACACGTATGTCCACACTGGAGGTACTGATCTTGTTCTTGCTTTGTTATTTTTGATTTATATTTAAACAAGCATTATTTCCCC